TTCTTCTTTGTGGATGGAATCTTGTCACCCTTTTTCTGGAGCTCCTCTAATTGTTTCTTCGCAACTTTGAGAGCTTCACACAGCAAGTTTGATCCCTCCAACATAGACAATGTAAGCAATTGTATGTCCTCTTTACTTGCCAATTCTGGAAAGTTATCCATGGCAACGAAAAAGATCTCCTCCTCTTCTTCGATAGCATGGATTTCCTCGATAGGCCTGATAAGTGATGAGGGATCAACCTCGTTTTTCATCAGAGATGGCCAAAGAGTGAGCGAGAGGTGCATTATCAATGCTCGGCTTCTTACTGGCAGGAGCCAATGGTAGTTTGTTGTTGTCGATTAAATCTTGGATAGCTTCTTTAAGCTTCCATCAATTCTCGGTAAGATGGCCCCTACCTTGGTGATACTTGTAATGTGCATTGGGGTTCCAATTAGCCGTCCTCCTCTCGATCGGTGGGTCCCCAAATGGTCCAATAGGATTTATTAGACCTTTTTCATTTAATCGGTCAAATGCGGTGTCATAACTCATATCTATAGGAGTAAAATTCCTCCTAAATGGTTTCTTTTGTCCTTGATTATTCATAGCAAGGACTTCACTTAAGTTAAAGGTACTAAGATTGTTTGAGTGGGTGGTTTTGGAAGAATAAGGATTGTCGTTCTTCTTGCCTTTCCAGCCACTGTTGGAGTTACTGTTAGCAGCTTTCAGCTTAACCAGGTCGTCTTCAATATTGATTCCAATGTCATAGACGACCTTGAAGGTATGGAGATTATTCTGGTATTTAAGATGCTTGGAGTACTTCTCTTGAAGGTTCTTGATGAATAACCTCACAGATTCTTTTTCACTTGGCACCTCGATCATCTTAGCTAAGGTTTCTCTCCATTTTTTGAAGAAAGAGATAAAACCTTCATTCTCCTTCTGCTTGAGGATTTCAAGTTCCCTATAGTCAGTCTCAACTTGAATATTGCACTTGTATCTATCAATGAAAGCGTTTACTATGGAATCCCAAGTAGAGGTTCTTTCTTTCTTAAGAGAAAAGAACCATTGTTAGCAAACGGCTTCAAGAGATAGGGAGAACAAAGAGGGAAACACCTTCTTGTCAATACCCTTGATACTCATTATCGTTTCAAAGGCTCTTAAATGAAAGTAAGGGTTGTCAGTCGCTTTGAATTTCGGGATGTCGTTGGCATTGAACTTCTGCGGAAGAAGATCCTTGTCCACCGAGACCCCTTGTGAGCTAATTCCTTGAAACTTATAGTCACTAGGCAGTTTGCTCAGACTCTCTTGCATGAGGTCCATCTGTTATTGTTTCACAGAATCATCAATCTTGAGGGTTAAAACCTCTAACGCCTCAGTCACAGTAATCAATTGGTTCCTGAGTTCATTGACTTCCTCTTGAGTTGCCATTATTGTCATAGCTTTCCTTTTACGAGCGATCGGTTTGTCGAAAAGTTGGACTTGAATAAAAAGGTTGTCTTTGATAAAACGCCCTTCCTTTCTTGACCACGCGTTGTAGATTAAACCATTTTTGTTTTATTACTTGACTCAAATTGACCTTGACTTTACGGTTTTAAAAAGAAAAAAAAGCAAAAATAGGTGCATATTTTTGGCAAAAATAAGGTATATATTTTTGGGAGTTAAGTATAGGGTTCAAACAAATGGTTTAATTGGAGGATTAATATCCAACTTACCCCCTAAAAAAATTACAGAAAATACGCGCATATGAGACTCCTTTAGACATGGTCAAAGTGTACATTAGTGTGTGCTTTATGTGGTGAATGTAAGTGACATGCTTTGACTCTTGTGTAAGACCATGGGACTTAGTGCTTAGACTCGATTAATGACTTGACAAGATACTAATTAACGGAATCGACTAGAAAACTACTCAATTAGACATAAGGTGATGACTCGAGCAACAAACCGAACTGTCGCCAAAACGACAGGACTGGCACCTCTCTTTGCAGTGTAGCGCCAGACGACAGGACTGTCGCCAGACGCTACGCTCTACATAGTGGCGCTGCAGTTTAAATCTTGGCGCCATTGCTAGAACGTCGATCTGGAACTACTTTCGGTATTATTACTCTACAGGGTATGCCTAAAAGTCGTACTAAGTCAACTCTGATTAAATTATTAAACTTTAATTACTCAAATTAATTAATCAATTAATTAATTAGGCAAAGTTCTTTTAGTCATAAATCAGTTTATTTAATCTTGGCACAAGTCAAACAAACGGTTAAGAAAAAACTCATAGAGGATGCACAACCAATAATTTAGTCAAGTAGGCACAACATGATGCAATGAGTTTGCAACCTAATCATGGCTCTAGTTCTCTAAAGTTCGGGATATGGGTTAGTCAAAAGAGGGTCCATGGTTAATTGTCCGGATGCACCGCGCGGAAGCCTAACCGTGAAGGGTTGGCGCGAGTGGATGGGACACCCCGAGTTTAGAAAAACTCGTTTCCATGGTTTGGTGAATTCAACATTCTCAGATGTACCCTTTGTTGCTCAAAGCGTTCAATCAGGTAGATGGAGCATGAATTCCCAGAGGATTATGTCCATATGTAGAACACATATGGGTTTCAGAAAAGTGAGAAAAACTCAATCAGGAAGTAGGATCGAGCAAACGGTGCTAAAAACTGGTCAAAATTAGAACGCATATTTCTGGCTCGGTATTGGAAGAACTTGGCACCAGCAAACAAAGGCCAGCGCCACAATTTGGCTTTAGCGCCTGGCGACAGAAGCTATCGCCTGGCGCTAACGTCAAATTATTGGCGCTAGACTTTGTTCCCTGACGCTAGTTCTTACATGCCTAAGCAGCTTTCTGTGCTGATAAAATTTTCCAGTTTCGCGCATCATTATTTCGATCCTAGTTGTGAAAGATATTCCTCAAATTTCCTACGTGTAAAAATCCTATGTTTTAACTCATTACAGATGGTCTTTCCAATGAGATCTTTTTTATGCATATGACAATAATGTTAATCAAAATTACGCACATGAAATACTTAGAACTTTTCGAGTCTCATCCACTCATTCTAAATCATTGCCGAAATAAATTTCAGGAATTAAAATAGATTTCCTCCCCAGTGGAGTCGCCAAAAAAATGTAGGGAATATTTCAAGCATTAACCCCTAGCTTGAACCCCACTGTGATCATACACTAAAGTACGGTGGGTGTCCAAAGGGAAAGAAGATACAGCAAAATAGTCGCCAACAAGTTTTAGGAACTTGTAAACCGTTCACGAGGTGAAGGTTACACCCCTTAACGATCTAGGAGATCGTCAACTCCAATAGGTCTGGAACCATGACTGGTAGTTCGGGGATGAAGGTACAAATCCAACCTAAAAGAGATTGAGTCTGCCCTAATAATATGCCTCTACTTTATTCTGATCGTATTCATGTGCGCTTTCTGACTAACATGCAATCAATAGGATTAACCCTAAATCTGTTTAATCTATGTTGGTTGAATATTAATGCACAAATAAATCTATTATTGGCGATCATTTGAATTATAATCATATTAACCCTAAACAAGATTATTAATTATCTTATTAAGCGTGATTACAAGTACAAATTCCCTTTAAACATGCATAAAAGGCGTTATCAAGCAATAACAATAAATATCAAGCAACATAATAAATCATCATAAATATCATAATCATAATTATCATACATTATAACAATTATAATCATAATTAAAATAATAAAATTAATCATAATTAACATAATCATGTTAAAGCATAATAATAATAGCAAGATCCTAGGCATGATACTAACAAGATTAATAACAAACCCTAGCATGTCACTAAACAATAAAAATCAAAGATTTAGCTCTAACATGATACTAACATGAATACTAGGAAAGAATATAAAATGCATCATACTTTTAATCATACTTGATACTAGGAATTTTTAGTTGTTACCCTAAACATGGTACTAGGAAGATCAAAGCACCCTAACATGACGCTAGGAACCATAATAACAACCTAAGCATGATTTCTACATCATAATATCAATAAAAACCATTAAAGCACTTACTTGGATGCATCGTATCTCTTTCTAATAACAAAATACACGCGTTAGTAACTTCAAGTAAAATAATAATTAAAACAATTAAACGAAATAATTGAAAGAAAGATTTGGGACCAAACCCTCAGAAATTAAAACCTTTCACGTCTAGGGCGAAGGCAATTTCAAACAATGCTAGGTGTTTCATGGTCTTGTGAATGCGGAATTTTGTTTGCAAAAAGGGTTATTTAGAAAAAAGAGAAAGAATAAGCTTCGAGAGAGAAGAGAATTAGAGAGATTAAGAATTGATGAGAATTGGTGATGAAAAACGGAGATTTTAGGAGGCTATTTATAGAGAAAATTAGCGAAAAGGATAGGAAAACAAATCAGAGTTTCGACGAGGAAAAAAGAAGTTAGCGCCAGGAGCCAGGCATTAGCGCCAGGCGCTAATGTCTGTCGCTAGGCGCTAATTAATTTTTTCACGTGTTTTCTAAATTCAGATAAAATTTAGTCGTACAGAAGGGCAAAATCGTATTTTCCTTAAAAACACTGTTTTATTCTGATTAAAACTCTAAAAAGTCAATTTATCAATGCTAATTGAATTAGGAATGAAAAGAATCTTCTAGAAGAATCTAGAAGACTAAAACCAATCTTAATTGCATTAGGAATGATAAATCCATATTAGGCCCTCCTCTAGATCATTGGGCCGCATATAAGGCTCAAACCGGGCCCAGTTTAGTAATTTGGCCATAACTTCCTCATTATTCATTGGGATTGAGCTTATAATTTATCGTTGGAAAGGTATTTTCAAGCCCCATCCAACCACACCATTATTATACCCTTGCCATGGACCAAACAAACTGGATTGGCTGTTTTCTTAAAATAGGTTTTCAAAAACAGAGAGAAGAGAAAATAAATTAAAATTATCCGCAACACTAGACTTTCCACACTTTCACTTTATTCGATTATGATTCGACGTGAAAGGTACTCATCACCGGGTTTGGTTTTGGGGAGACACAAATGGGTGTCTACAAGTCCTTTTTTTTATTTTTTATTTTAGGTCTGTTGGTAGGTGATGAAGTGGAGCTATTCTGCCTTTTTTGGGAGCTTATAATGGAGCTAATTCTGTACAAAGGACTAATGCTGCTACTAACTCAGCAATTAGGAATTATGACTAATTTTAGTGGATGATTGTTTTTGTAATTTGCAAACAATGACAACTTTTGGTTTGTAATTAAACTTTAAATTATGCTTTCCCTCCCCCCCCCCCCAACCCAAATCCAAAACAGTGTTGTTGATGTTGTATGGGAAATGAATGGAACAGGCAATCCCCATTTAAATAAGGGGCTTTTGGTATTGAAATTTAGAAAGTCCAAAAAATTTAAAAGTGTTTTCAATTGATTTTAAACTTTTCATGAAAAGTTTGGAGGGAAATTAATTGGAGCTGCCAGTCAAAAAGAGAGGGAAAAAAGTAAGGAAAAAAAAAGGGCCACATGGGTCTCCGTAGAAATTGGAACCACATAATTTCCCTCTCTTTTTTAACTCACCTAATTACATACCTTTACTATTTAATACACCCCCTTAAAACTTTTCCAACCTTTGTTGCGAATAACTCGTAACGGAGGGAGTATTATTTACCTCCAACTAAACAAGACCTAATTTTTATTACACCATAACTCCATAACAGAGTGCTCTATCTCTATGACTTTATCCATGCCGTAAGCTGCTAAGAGTGCTTACTGTGAGTCTGTGACGTTTGTCAATATTAATGTTGTGGGTAATTCTACTTCTCCTTCAATTATACAGTTTTGGGTAAATTATTTATGTATTTTATTTGATTTTTGTAATTTGGGTTTTGTGTTTTATTTAAGGATGATGGCTCAAATCGCTCAATGTACCACTGGAGTTAATTTTTTGCAAGGAACAACCTTATCTTCCAATAAATATAGCTTTCATGGGGTTTGCAGCCAACCCCTGGTGTTAATTACTTATAATAAAGCATGTTTATATCATGGAAAAATTGCCAATTTTCACAGAAATGGAGGGGTTTCATCTTCACCTTTAGGTAATTACTTAACCATCTTATTTCAAACGGTTCAATATTTTGATTCTTTTATAAGATAAAATGAAAAATTTGTTTGATGTTGTAATGTGCTTTTTAGTAGGGTCCTGGGAGGTGTCAAGTAATGCTGCAAGCATCTCTTGTAAGGTATTATAATTCAATGCTCTACTTTTTACCATTTTCGATTTGTGTTTTATTGAAAATTATTATATACACCTGGGCGTAAGGTGTTTTTTTTTTCTCATTTGATTATGAGCCATAATCGTCAAAATAAACAAAAATTATCTTGGGTGTATCTTGTACCCGGGTGTATAAAGAATCTCATGAGTTTCGTATGGTACAATTACACTGTGAAATGTATCAGCTATGCCTGTTGTCATACTATTGTAAAGAGCTTGAATCACACATTCACATCTTGCACTCCCCTATATATGTATCAGAAATTCTTTGTTAGGACGAAAGCGTCTAAGCCTACAATGAGCTGGAGAGCGTCTTCTAATGTCATTAAAATCTGTACTGCCAGAAACCCAGGCAGGTTCTCTTGTTTAGTCTGCTAATAAAGTATAGAGTCACAAAATGATGTCTGTTCTCTTTGTGACTGTAGTCTAGTTAACTACTTATAGTGTAGAATGTTAGTAACAACTCACATATAAACATGAAAAGCCTTTCGTCTGTAATGGAAGAATTACATCCTTAATAAGGTATATAGGGTGCTCTCAACTCGCTTAACCCATTGAGCATAAGATTTATTTATTGTCCAATATTGAAATGATTTTTTGGTTTCTGTGAGCTTACTATATGGCAGTGGCACTGATTACGCCTGGAAATTGTAAAGTCAATCTGTCATGAGTATGAGGCTATCATGGACTTGTTCTTGTGGCAAGTGACAAATATGTTCTAATCAACTTCTTTTCACAAGTTGTGACAAAAATAATTTCTCTATTAGCTTTCCTAATCTATTTCTCAGCTCTCTTCTACCTCCCTTCAAATAAGGAATCCCTTTAAAAGACCAAAAAGAAGGAACTTGAAATTCGGAAGGAATTTACTTGTCTATGTATTGCTCTATTCGATCTTTTAGGTCACGACTTCACCTCGACGATTAGACTTCGAT